AAAAATCTCCGCTTCTTTTTTACTCGTTTGTAGTTATCCTCTGAGTCCTGATATTTCTTATAGTTTTTTTTTTCTTTTTGGTGCACTTTTGGTAAGTTTCTCTCATGGTGTCTGCTGAGGAAAGGTATATTCAGTAGACAAAGTGTTTCAGTTTTAGATGTCTGTGGCTTCCACCACATCGTTCCCAAATAGGTTATTTTTGTTCCTGCTGCCAGCCTGGGAAAAACATGGGAGAAATATGACTACCCCATCAAAGTTTTGGAAGAATCAGTGAAAACTTTACAGTAAAACCTATCATCTTGTATAGCCCTGTTGTGATTTTTTTAGTAGTATATCGTTAAGCTTTTTTTCCATATTCTTGATCTTTGTCTAATGTATTGGGTTATTGTATCTAGATTTCAATGAGTAACTATTAGTGATGTTTGCTACTGGTAAAAATATCAAAGGAATCCCATTTCCTGTAACCAATCAACTCTCTTTTCTTTAGGTCCATCTCCCAGAGAGGAATCCTGATCAATTAGAGGAAACACATAAAATTTGCTTTGAAGGGTGTAACTGTAAAAATGCATTGTGTCTTACATTGTTTATGTTCATCCTTGATTACATGGTCATGCAATGTGTCAACAATCAGGTTTAAGCAGGCTTCCATGTCCTGTCTGAAGCATAGTATGACAGAGGAATAAGTCCATTAAACATATATATATATTTTTATGAATTTGTCAAACATATTTTCACAAAATCTGAAATCATTTCAATTTTCTATGCAGCTAATTACATCTGATGCAGTCCTCTTTCTAACACTGCCTCCACAGGGTGCAGGTTTAAGCCCTCAGCGGGATTCATCAGGCATTCTTTACATTGATCAGTGCTCAGGTAGAGGAAGTGCCAACAATAGAGTCCTATTCTAACACGGAAACTATGCTGGAGTTTTTTTCCCCTCCTATCCAGACATTTACACAGTCTCCTGCTGAGTACAACTGCCTCACAGTGTGTGTCTCAGAATGCCAATTGTTAACCTTTTGTTCAAATTGAATGAAATGTGATGAGAACCCTGTGGATGAGAACCGTGTGGAATCTCTATAATCTAATCAAAGTTTGGAACAGGATTTGAGCTTGCTGATATTTTCAGAATAATGTCCGGCAAAGCTTACACTCTTCTGTCACTCCTCTGAAAAAAGCATCTGGAAACCATGAATCAGTCACCTGAATTCAGTACGTGGGAGATTGCAACCAAATACCGTGCTCAAGCAACGAAGAAAACAACAATTGAGCTGAAAATAATGTTCCCTAGATTTTAAATGGGGTGATAAGCGACCGCATTCTGGAGTTCAAAGAGCTGATTTTTCTTTTACTTTCAGCGAACTATAACCAGATGTTGCCGTGTGCTGGAACAACAAATACAAGTAGTCCATCAAGTAGACCTGCAACATCTGTTCTGTCCTTTAGTATTTTTCTGATGGTTTTTATGATCAATCATTTTCATCAGGAAAGGATTTTATGTCCTTGAGTTCAGGTTTATCTCAGATTAAAAGCTTAGTTACTGTCATATAAACTCAATAGAGCAGTAATGTGTCATACATCACACTATGTATGTCTGTCTATCTAGCATATTTTATGGAACAATTTTAAGACATTGCTTTAGAAAAGTACGGTTTTATGGTATGTTTTGGGCTTTGTAATGGCAATTACATCAGCTAATTGAGTGTAAAGCTTTTGTCAGGATGGCAGACAGGGAACCTGGATGCCAACTGTTAGTTTATTTGAACAGCGGTGCAGCCGTTGCCGTTGGCCTGAGTACACATCCAGTCAAAGGGCCGTTCCTTCCTGAACTTTGGCTTCCAGGAAATTCTATAATGAAAGCAAATCCCCCCATGTAGCCGTGTGCTTGTCTGTGAAGGAAATACAGAAGCTGTCACAAGCAAACAAATACGAAGCCTTTGGAGCGTCCAGTTTAGACTCGATGCGGTTTTCACAAGTGATGTCAAACTGTTTCACAGTGCTCTCGGATGTCAATTAAAGTCTTAAAAAGATTAAGATAGACTCATTCATTTTATTCTGTTTGTTTGAATTATAAAGTCTAAAGTCACCAAATACCCAGCTGTCCCACTATCCTCATTTTAGGCAACTTTAAAGCAATCACTAACCTTTAAGGTTAGCGTTAGGGTTAGGGTTAGGGTTAGGGTTAGGATTGTAGGTACAGAGGAGACTTTTTGAGACTTCAACCCTTTATTAAGCTACCAGCGACACAGGCTTTTATTTACACACTGATTCCAAGTCAGCCTGATATTTTAGTCAATTTTGATAAGTGCTGCTGTTACGTAATTGGCTGGAATCTATTGTTTGGCTGCAGCACAAGCAGTACTGAAACTTATACCGTCTGAATAAGCCGATCTCCTTTAATAGCTAAGAGCTGAAAAACATGGGCAAGAAGACATGCTGGAATCATTTGGAAAGCTTTCATCTGCCTTTTAGGAACTCTGAATCTTATTTGGACTGGAGGCAATTAATTTATTTGCTTATAAAATCAAACTGTGAAATTAGAATTTTCCAGGGTTGTTTATAGTACACATACTTGGATTTTCATCTCATGAGGTTAATTTACACAGCGTAAGACTGTTTACCTCAAATGTTCTGTACTGACTATGTATCAGCTAGACAAATCTTTAAAAGAAAATGTCTTCTCATGTTTAGGGGTCATATTTGGTGAATTAAAAAGGTTGTTGCAGCTCCATGGAAGTACAGACCTGCTGCATCATGACTGGGCCATTAGCTTTCACTACATGGGCACATTAATAACCACCAATCAATCAATGATGCCCCGAGGCAGGCTGAAACCTTTTATTAAACGCATACACAAAAGATTAATGATGTTGAGATTATCAAAGTTGATGTCAATACAGCCTCATATGAAGTTTTTTTTTTTAAGTGAGATGGTTTGGAAGATCAGAATTGTGATCAGACTGAGGGAAAATTGCAGTTTCTCGCTTTAATCTTTGTTATGACTTGGTTGAGGAACAACAAGTCCGACCAGGATTACACGGTCAAGCAACTGATGAAAGATAAGGGCTGAGCAGTCTAAATGGAGAGTATCAACTATAAAAACACTCCACTTTTCCAGTCTTGTTAAAATGCCACAAGAAGAGTTATTTCAACATTAACACCATGTGCTGTGGCCTACGTGAGCCTCGACCCAATTCTTCATTTAATTGAGCTGTGTTCACATCCAAAATTCCTCATGAAAAAAATGAATGACAGGCAATTTCCAGCACACGGCTCTCCTTGATTTTGATTTGTCACATAAAAGAGAGATCACTCCATGTCTCTCTGTGACTGGATAACCTAATGAATGTATATTTCTGTAAGTCTCACAATCCCGAGGGCCTGAAAGTTGAATTGAGTTAAATTAATACATTTATTCTGACTCACTCCGAAAACTTTTACCCTGGCAGAGGAAAGCCTGAGATGTGTCAGGTGCAGAAATGTAAGAAGGCAGATGTAACAGGAGATCGCCAATGGAAAACCTTTTAGGTCTGAAACAGATTAAGTGGTTTATAATATTGAAAGTATAATTACCAAAACTGGCTGTGTGGAATTACATATAAAACAATTCTTTCCCCTTGAAGTAAAACAATTGAGTGACTGTAATGTATACAATATGCGGTATATAAAGCATTGTCAGAGAGATTATTTGTGTATACAGGAACAGTTTTCAGCATCTGACTTGGTGAGGTATCTTAAAGCTTTACAGTACAACATACTAAGTGTCCTTCAGCAGATTTCGGGGTTTAGAAATGTCCTCTCTTCATATGAAATTGCAAAATTAGTTTATTAGTTGTTGTTTTTTTATCAAGCAGATGAAGGACTCTATATTACTTATATGCATCTTGGGTAGTTTCTATTATTTAAAAGACAAAAACAGTGTGATGGTAGAAAAAGTTCTCATAAGACCGAAAGAAGGAAAATAAAAAGCCATTATTTTTCCTCATGACCTTTTTATGTCATTTAAACTGAACTTTTCTTTTAGCACATCTGTTAAAAGGATTAAATGAAGACTACTGAGAGGCCAAAACAAGAAGATTTTGCCAAAAACTATCGAGCCCAACAACAAGAAGATGGTATTGAAATACGAGACCAAAGAAATGCATAAATAAATTATTTTTACAACTAATTTAACGCCTTTGTCTCATTTGGGAAACAGCTAACGAAAATGCTTTTTTATATCTGTGTAAAAGCAGCAGCTTTATTCTTATCTTTGCAGTGAATGTATTGAAACACTGTTGAAGGAGATGACAGGAGGGGTCAACAAGTTCAGGTCGCTGAAGCATGAAGGCAGAGAAGTTTGTCCGTCTCCCCTGGATAATTTCTAATTTGTGTTTCAGAGGTTTTCAAACATTTGTGAAGATATTGCCAGCATATTTTCATATTCCCTGTGAATCTATTATTATTGAATGTCTTTTCTTGACTTTTGTTTTTTGGAAGAAATAGTGTTCTTTAACCCTGTTTTGGGTTGTCAGATAAAACGTCTGGGAAAGTGGGATTTCCGCTTTAGATTCAAATTGCCAAGTTGAATGTTAGAGTTTGTCTGCTAAGAGCTCTGTAAGTAATGATATAACACTTTCTTAGAGAAAAACTTGAAGCGACATTCATTCAGGAGAGTTAGTTCAGTGTTGTTATCAAAAATGGTTTAAATGCCCAAAAAGGTTTCAGATGAATTTTTATTGTGGATGAGTCCCATGTTTCTTAGTTTTAGGTTAAAAGCCCTTTAAATGGGCTGGATTTTTTGCTTTGGTTTAGACAAAAGTCAGTTATTGACGGGATGACTTTTCTTTTCTTTAAAAGAAAAAGGGCTTAGAAACGTCTAAAGGTTAACTAACCACACCGTAGCAACATACAACATGAATGAGTGCAAACTCCTTTTCTTCCTTCTGCATCCTTCACCAGGGTCTGTTCGCTAATTGAAACCTCAAAGCAAACAGCCAGTCACATCAGAAAAGAAACCCACCCTTCCTCAGTCCTGTTCCTCCGCTGCCTGTGCTGTACACATTCCAGTCTGATTGGCTTAGCTGTTGGCCCCATGCCCAAAGGGCGTCTGTATAAAACTCCCCATGTGTTGAAAGTCAGAGTCAGAGAGCAGAAGGAACTCACAGAGACCCAATCAAGTCACATACTGCAACTGAAAGCTCCGGAAAATGTGTAAAGGATTAGCTGCCTTACCTCAGACCTGCCTGGAAAGGTAAGACTTGCATCATTAACTTACAATTCCTGTGAATATCTGCTGGGTTTCTGTCCCAAAAAGTTTCTAAATCCCTGATAATAGAATGATATATAGTTAATCAAATAAACAGATAAACAGTTACATCAGAAAATATTTGTGAATGTTTTTTTTTTTCTGTTGCTAAAATTTATTTGCAAAAAGATTTATTCACTTAATGTCAGAACAATAAATCTATGAAAATTGTATTCAAAGCTCAGGAAAAGGTCAAGAATGTTTTACAAAGCACGCTGAGGTATTTTGAGAAAATAATGAAGCAATATTTCAAAATCAGTTATTGTGAATGACTTTTTACAGCTAAATAAAAGAAAAACTTAATTATTTTCCCTCTGCTGCTTTATTCAAAACCAAACATAATGTCATGTTGGAGAGGGGACGCAGCTTGGAATTGTATTACCTGATAAAAGGGTTCAACAAAGATTTTAAACCTGATTCTGCTTTCCATATCCCCCAGGGCTAAGGAGATCAAGTCAAAATTGGGAGTTTTACTGCAGAAGCCAGACAATGCCATCGACCTCATCATCCCTTATCCTGAAAAGACTGAGAAGAAGCCAGAGAAGCTTCAGAAGTGAGTGTTTACTCCTGGAAAAATGCGTTTCTGTGAGGTGGACAGTGTTTGCCTTTGGGTTAACTAGATAACCGCGGCTAGAGTGGGAGCACAGAGCCACAAGCCGTTTCAAATGTGCAGATCAAAAGAGATTAAACCTTTCCAGACACCGAGTGGGCTCAGATGTCTGTGTGAGCTGGTAAAAAGCAGACACCACAAACAGGATAACCTGAAAAGGACTGCTGGCAGATGATGTAGATGAGGAACTTTGCTCTTTTTCTTCACGTTAGTGTTTTCTACTCTGGCACTTTTTTTGGGTGAAACACTACATAAACTACAAAAGAAATAGATGAAAGTGAGGTTAAGTACAGCCCTCCAGCTGGGTTGATATGACAGTGAGATTTGGTCAGATCACAGGGATTCTTCCTCACCTAAAAATCAGCTTGAGGGCAGCTTTGCGGGAAAATCTATGAGGCTTTAAGTTGAGGCTATATTTTTGTTTGATATTCAACTCTTCAGCCTCTTTATTGTCATTGGCTCAAGAGATTTAGGTATTTTACTGGCTTGAAGCGCCACAGCTCAGAACAGGTTTAGCCATTTATTTTCAGAAATGCACATTAATCTTTGATTGTAGCTTACACGAGCACACTTTCCACTTCCCTCGGTACTGTTGATCTACAATTTGAAAACTTTTTGGAGTGTGACATTCTTTTTTTTTCTTATTTTTTGCAACACCAACCCAATAGGCAACGGTGTGTGACAGGTTGGAATTGAGAATGTTTTTTCAGAAAAACTTGCCTCACAAATCATGAGCCTGTCGCCCTTCTTTCTAGCTGCATGTCAGACAGAAAATCTTGCTCTGGAGACAGCAAAAGTGTCATGCTGCTTTAAAAATCAAACCCTCCATCAATCAATGACACCGCTTTGAGCCAGTTCAAAGTTTTAAGCTCAGAGTCTCAGTGCTCTGAATGATGGCTTGGACATGTGAATTCAATACAAATGCACAGAGAATATTAGGTCAAATCTGTTCTTCAAATTACTTTTGCTATACACTGAGATGTAAACATTAGGTCTCTCTCTGAGCATTGATCCATTCATAAAGCATTTGTGCATGTAGGTAAAACATGTAAAAAGAATTAAAGCTTACATGGCAAAGCTTTTTAGTATCATCAGCACTTATAAAAAGCCTTGTTTATGGCTAAAAAAACAAAAATATCAAGATACCTTTCCTAATATAAGAAGCATCATCTCATTATGGTATGTTTGGCTATGAAGTAACATTTAATTCAACTGTCTAGAATCAGAAAAAAGTGCCTCTATTTCGGGGACAGTTTGTCTTTCCAAGCACCATAAGTCAAGTGTATTGCATCATTTCACCATTACAAATAATTAAGTAATTTCTTTTGCACATTCGAAAGCATCTGTGATGCTTTTGATCAGCTGTCCCATAATGTTTCTCGTCAAACTGATGTATTTTTGTTTCTTTTTCCAGGCCTACTCCTGAGGAGGCTGCTCAGTGGCGTGAGAGTCTGGACCGAGTCCTGAACAACAGCTGTAGGTCTTTCCCCTCTTCCTTTGTTTCTATTTCATCTGTCACAGTCTCGCTCATTCGCCAACAAACAAAAAGAAAAATCATGCATAGTTGAGTCGGTTATTGTTGATGCAACCTAAAACACTGATCCTTACTTTTTTTAGTTTGATTGAGGGGCCAGATTAGGTGCATCTGCAAAAATGTGAATTTAAGAACAAATGTTTTCCTCAGAAAAATTTAAATCAAGTTGATTTTAATGAGAAACTGAAACTGATTCAGTTCATGTTAATAACCCTGTTACATATAACTTGTTTTTCATGGTTTCAAACCATTTTATTCTAAGATGTTTGTTTGCTTCTTTGATGTTCTTCTTTTGTTGCTTTTTCTTTCTTTTTTTGGTTGTTGCTTGCTGGGTTGCTGCAATCAGTTTTTCTGGTTCAAAACTAAAAATATAAGCCTCAACTCATTCTGTGAATGCGCGGTTGTATTGTGGAGAACACAACAAAATAGGGACACTGTAAGAGCATGATTAATTTAACACAAGCCAAACCTGTAGTCCATGTTATGTAACAGCTCATCCCAGCCCGTGTTCAGGGGTGTGACAAGCCACCATGTCTGGTTTCTGTCTAAGATCACGCAGGCTTTGGTTTCCATTAAAGCTGTGATTGTGACCGCAGTAAGTTAATTGAATAGAAAGTTATGTTTTTTTGTTTCGCATTACGTTAACATTCAAAAAGTCTAAATTGTTTTTAGAGCTACACAGTTATGGAAAATACTTTCTATCTAATTTAAGTGAAGACTGCATTGGTTTCTAGTCTGTACTGATGACCTTAGTCTGAAGTGATTATAAGAATAAATGTGTAATACTACCATTTTGCCACAAAACATCACAATTTCACAAAAGTAACTTTCAAATGGTACATTTTGTCTTATGCGTCGGATGCTTCTAAATAATGTCCACACAGTGCATATGCATGCCTAAAATATATACACGTTAATTGCAGTAATTGGATTAATTTTCTTGGAGGCTTGTGGCTGAAAATGTAGCACTGAGCTGTGCAAAGTTTCTTCTTATGGATTATGTGGCTTCTTTAAGTGGATATTGACAGTTATGCTCGCCTCTTATTTTCCTTCATGCTGCTTGTTAGAGATATGTTGCCATCTAAGAATAACTGTTGCGCATGTTAAAGTTAAATAGATATAGTTAAGGTGGACACCAAAGCTCCAAGCAGAACTGAAGAGGGTAAAAACACATTTACGGTCAGCTTACATACCAGAAGCCAGCCTGTGTCTCAAGTGTTTACCGAGCAAAGTGCTCAGACAGCCGGAGAGTCAGCAAGACTGATGATTAACCCTAATAGTGAATGGTATTTAGCCCTACGTGTAAACTCTCCAGCTAATCAGTCACTAATGTTGTCCCTGTGCATTTAAACACGTACAGAAGACGGACCATATGACGAACACACACAAAAGCTCAGTGGGTGGCAGAAGACCCTCGTAAGGGGCTCCCTCAGCACAGTACAGCAGAGAGAAAAGTTTGTCAAGTGTTTGTGCGCTCAGATGAATGTGTGTATGCTTCTGCATGTGGATACCAGCTCTGGAAGGGGCCGTGTGTTATTGTAACATCTCTGGGGTCTCGCCCAAATGATTTACTGCACAGTTGCTGCTAACTGCTGTGGCACGATTATTTATCTACATGAGATTTTACAGAAACAATATTCTTCATGGCTTTTTCCCTGATCTCAGGGGAATCTTAGAGTTATCTTTTCAGTCATATGGAACCAACCCCCTCTCCCCACATTTCCTCCCCCTTCTTTGCATATCCAGTTACAAACTGCATGATTCACATCATATATGGCTGAAAAAAACTTGACTTCAATGTCATCTCATTGTTGTCTTTTTTTGTGAGAAGTTAGACTCATTTTACTGGGGCCGATTAAATCTAACACTGTACTCATCTGAAATGGAAATGAGAAACTATGAAAACTGAAATCAGGTTGACATGCTTTTAATCAGTGCATGTGTGCTTCCCATTTTGTGAGTCCTTGTACTGAAGGCCTTTGGAAAAAAGAAAATAAAAAAAGGTGGAGCTTGATTACCACTGCGTGCTATTTTGAACCAAGCTAGCTATTTAGATTGAAGATAAAAGTCTGGGGCTGTCACAGAATGCTTATCATCTGCACACATGCTTGTTCAGACAAAGGAGCTCTCAGAGGCATTGTGTCAAATTACAATGGCTTTGACTGAAATGAGTTCTTGTTTTATTGAGCTTTGTTCTTGGACTAACATGCTTCTACATTTACGTAAATAAACCTTTTTTTTTATTTGATGAAAAAATTCCTGTGAAAATCCTGTAAAGAAATTTGATGCAATACAGAAAAAAACGCGTTAATGGATCCTTTGAAAAAGTCACCAAAAAAAGGATTTTATTCTAGATGAACTCACTGTATCATGGCCACTGTTTTGCTGCATTACCTACACAGAGGATTTCCTTATTATTCATCACTTCAGTTCTGAAAATCACATACGGCCTACATAAGGACAAAATGTGCTACGCTGGCCATTTCATATATCAAAGAACAGCTAGTAGGTGTCAGTTCTGCAAATGCAGCATGCTGGTTTTAGTCAAACATGACTTCATTGTTGTGGAAAAATGCTCCGGTGACGTTTGCCTTCTGGTATGTGAGATGCAAAAGAGTCTGTGTTTGAAAACAGGTGTGAGGGAAAAAAAGCTGTGAAGCTTTGTGTTCACCGGGTTTTTTCTGTTATACCCGATTTGAAATGGTTTAAAAGAATGTTTCGGTGCACTTCTGCAACAATTCATGAATCGTACGGGCCAACTTAAAGCAGAGAACAAACTGTACGTGGTAGCTCACTTGTGATTCATTCTTTTCTGCCCTGATGTATACAAAGTGTTTTTTCCAAATGGTTCCAGCGGTCTTCATAAAAAGCTGTCCTTGCTGTCATGTGGTGGGAAAATAAATGTTCAATGGCTGTGGCCTTCAGAGTGTCATTTTAGTTTTACTCTATGGGGAAGAAATATGATGTGTTTGGTTCACGTGTTCAAACTCACAAACTATGGAGTTTTGATAAAAAGCCTTTTGATGAAGTTGCAAGTGATTTATTTTACCTTCAGCTTGTGTGTGAGTGAATGTGACATTAAGCTGTGGACGATTTGATATTTCATCATATTTATATGTTATATGTAGTGTACGTTTATAACTGGTTTAATGACTTATTTGTGTCTCTATCTGTTTTCCTCCCTCCATCAGATGGTCTGAATGCTTTCCGCAGCTTTCTGCAGTCAGAGTTCAGTGATGAGAACATTGAGTTCTGGATGGTCTGTGAGGACTTCAAGAAGATCAAGAACCCCGTGAAAATGGCTGCCAAGGCCAAGAAGATCTATGAGGATTTCATCCAGTCTGAGGGACCCAGAGAGGTCAGGGACTCTTCTGACTTTCCCTCTTTTTAGTACCATTTCTGTACATAGAATATAAAGAGCTCCTTTTCAATCAATTTCCAATCATTTCAGATGGATCACCCAGCAAAAGCATGCCCACTAAGATTGGTTTTCCTATTACTTAGCTTCACAATTAAGAACACAGCAGTCAGTATACTCATTTTCTAGATATAATGTAACATCATTTCAACGATTTCCTACTACAATTTTACTCAATAAAGAGCAGATATATTCCAGGTCTGCAATTCTTCTTTATAAATCCCCGACCTCATATGAGGCTCTCATTATAAAGGTGATCCCTGAAAAATGGCCTTTTGTAAGCATGGATGTTCTATTATATACAGTATATATAGTATTTAGGATGATTTTTACGATTCATCTGCAGTGATATCATGAACATTATGAACACTTGTTTTGTTGCGTTTTTTCTGAACAAGGATAAGGATTTGTGTGGATTTTGAATAGAGTGGTACTGCCACTGGGATGTTTTAGATCGACTTTGTAGATTAGTTTTTTCCATCTGGGGGACCTGAGGGGCCTTTTAAAGATGTTTGGATTAGCAGAAAAAGGCAAAGTAAAAACTGTCTGAAAGTCACGATGCAGGTTTTCCAAGGTACACACGCCTGTGTGGAAAGTCATTACTCACACATGTCCTGTAATTCCTATTGCTTTAAATATTGCAATGCAATTATTTGTTTCAAGCTTGGCACTTACACATTCCTTTGTACTGATCCAATCTGTAACTGCCTCTGACAGCAGCTCTTTCTCTCATCAGGTGAACATTGACCACTTCACCAAAGATGTGACCCTGAGGAATCTGGTGGATCTCTCCCCTTCAACCTTTGACCTGGCCCAGAAGAGGATTTTCGCCCTGATGGAGAAAGACTCCTTTGGCCGTTTCCTGCGGTCTGAGCACTACCAGGAGCTCCTGGTCAACTAAGCCTTAGAAGCAGGATGTGGGGCGTTGGGGTTGGGGTTGGGGTTGGTGGGGAGGTTTCAAATAGCAGTTGATTACAAAACTGAAAATAATTAGAAATATGTGATGACTTTTAGATTAAACACTACGAAAAAAAACTACCATTACTTTATTACAAGACTTTATTTCAATAGATTTCATTCAAAAAAGGAAAATTCAAAAGAAAAAAACTGCAGATTGAAATGTCCCCACATCCCCACCTCATACATATGTTCCTGTATTTCTATCTAAATGAGGACCATTGATAAGCTTCTTTCTCAGTTTCTTAGTGCTCTCTTAATTACATTGCTCAAATTGATTGAATTGATTCAAAACTATTAAAAAATGATAGAAGTACAGGATCACAGTCTTTCTAATTGGGCCTCAAAGTCAGTTGTTTAACTGTATGAACACAGTATGCTCCTGAAATAATCCCCTGAAGACATAGCCTCTTGTTATGTTGTGCATCAAAGTCTTAAAAGCTGGTCAGTTTTATGCTTAAACTACAATTTAATGGACTTGCATAAAAACATGACTTCGACTTTGTCCCAGTATGAAAAGGGCATTGTTATTTTCCATTTTATTTTCAAACTCACCCTCATCATGAGCTAAATTTAATCCTCAGTGAATGTATTTCAATTTCCAGTCTCACTCTCCAGAATTGGGAGGGTTACAAAATAAAGGGACATTATGACAATGATAAGATCCATTCATTTACTGAGGAAACTGGGGGTATAATATTGTTAATTCTATTAATAATCAAATATATTGGGATCTAATAAACTTCTACTCGGTGTTAGGCTAGCAACACCTGAGACAACTGCCTCCATCAGCTATGCCTTCACTCACATCTCTGGAAGATGGTCAGTTATTTTCAATACAAAGCAAACAGCTTCTGTTTTGTACACAATGAGGAAGATTAAAAAAAATACATCATGGAGAAATGTTCAAATCCCCTTCAAATGGTAGTGAGGCTGTTCTACATTAAAAAGGAATTAAAGTGTACAGAAAGCTGAATGTGAGATTGACTGTTACATTACTTTTTCAAACGAAGCTCAAACATATTACCTTATTATCAGTGCCTGATATTAACATTACATACATTCCGAATAAATAAGAAGCTGTTCCACAGTCGAAGGAACTGATGGAATTCTTAATCAGGTCACATTTTGTTCGTGTAGAAAAAATACCTTATTTGGAAACTTGTATCAACACATAAGTATTGATTATCTCTTAACTTTTCTGTTTTCCTGTGTCAATTTTTCAGTCTTGCATAGATACAAAATTTGGATTTTCACCAAACCCCACCTTTCTGGTAGTAATATTTCCTGTGGGAGCAGTGCTGGCTGGGCGTCTCAGTGGCGTAGCTCCTTGGCTACCACTATACTGCAAGTTGCTAAGATGGGAAAATCAAGTAGGAGGGAATCTCAGAAAAAGGAATAAACAGAGTAGTGGCTTGATACGAAGAATGCTCCTTTTCCCATGTGATAATACCAAAGTTATAAGTATGCACGTCGAGTTCCTTAAAAGGTCCAAACAAAAACATGAGAGACAGAACTTGAAAGTTTGCAGCACTTGACAATCCCCGCCTGTATTATTGGCTTTGAATTAGAAGTCATACAGCACATATTTAAGATTTCCAACGAATAAATTCTCACATGGACATAAAAAATCTGCCAGTGCATTATAATTACAAAAACAGTTTTAACCAAACTTACACATACTTCATTTTATTTGTCCATATAAAGAATTTAATATTCAGCCACAATTTATTTAACACTCTTCTGTAATAAAAAAAGTCACCCACTGACACTTGGATGAGGCATAGACGGATGTATTGTAGGACTCAGTGTTGGTGTTTAATGTTTAAGTGTTTTAATATACACATTTAGTTAAATGTAGTTGAATGTAGCATGAAGCTTTATTATATTTACTATTTTCTGAGTTTTCTCATATTTACCTTTTTTTTTTATCCACACGGTTATTATTTACATATTTAGCGGTTTAAGCCCTTATTGTTGTGCAAATGCATTTATGTTCCACATTAGTCAGATATAATATCATTACAAACTTATCGTTTAATTCATTGATATCTGAATGTATTTGCTTAAAAGTGCATTTAACCCGATGACAGATCTATAACACTAATTCACAGTTTAGAAAAGTATTGAAAAGGGTTTTATATAGCACAGATTGACCAGTCTGCTGTCTTAACCTGAAGTATTACAAGTGACAAAACAATACGGAAAAACTGAATCGATAAGGGCTTTAACAATGCTGAGTATGCATTTTTGGATGTAGTTTGCATGTACGGTTTGTAGTGGATCACATAAAAATATATATGCATCCAATTTCTGAAGATGTATTTATTTATGTGTGTAAATAACTACTAAGTTATTCTAAAAGGCTACAACTGAGCTGGTTACGACTCTTCTCGGGTCTTTTCACTGTTATAAAGGACAAAAGATTGGACCTTCAATTGTCACTTTGTTTTCTTTTTATTGGGTTAACCTTTGACTACAATGATCAGCTATTTTAACAAGAAAATACACAACTGTATTCATGGATTTTTAGAACATATAAATGTCTTAGATTTTTTTTTGGTTAAGCTCAAAGCTTCAAACGGCTTCAGGTGAACCTGCCATTGGTGCTGTTTAGCAAGTTTCTGCATGCTGCCCTAAGAGAGCATTTTATCTGATAAAGAGCAGCCGGGGGGACAGCAGATCTACTAGCTTTGCTGATGACTGATAAAGATTTTTTATTTGACAAAACTCAGAATACCTTGAAAGCAAAAGATTTTTATTTCTATGTCTTATATTTAGTCAAAGTATATCCTAGCATTAAGTGTCCAGGAAGAGATGCAGAATGGAGGCATTATGCCTGTTCAGTGGTCCATTTAAGTGGTCAGTGCTCATTTCCAATGATGACTAATAACATATCAATCGTGCTTCTGTACTATTTGAAATTTATTTATGTAATATTTTAACAAATAGACAAATTGCCCAGATGAAAATCATTGTGGGTATCACCTTCTCTATAGAGGGAAATTATCATTAAAATCAATCAAAGAGCATCTTTATCCTTTTGTGGTGAAACTGCATATTATTTAGCCATTGCACAAAAATACTGTTTGCAGCTTCATCATTTTAATTTCTTCATCTTTATTTTCAAGGAAAAATACTCCAAAACAAAATAACAGAAAGAAAATCTTAGAAGAATGAAGAAATCACTGAAAACAGAAGTATCCCATTCAAAATAGACGTTGATAAGAAAACTGAAAACTTTCTGAATAGCGCCGTCGTCCTTTATCTGTCCTCTCAATAAACTTCTTGAAAGACCAAAGTAGATGTGAAGCCTACGCAACTGAAAAACGTCAGCAGAGAGTGAAGAGCAGAACGGAAACAGATGCAGCCTAGGAACCAGCTGCCAACACAAACATTGTCACAAGCTCGTATGGATGCATCCGTTATTACAGCAGTTCTAAGAATTAATGGAAGAGGTCACATGCCTTTGGTCCCACAAGGAGGTTAGTGACATTTCTGACAAACATTTTGTTGAGCACTCACATGTGCACTTCACTGTCACATTTCCAGAAACCTCACTGCTCTGAGCCCTTGGACTGTGTTGTTCTCCACTGAATTTCGAAAGTGAAGTTGGTTGTTTTAAGAAAAGTCTTCTTAACATTAAGCCTTAAACAATGTGCTTATAGAGCAACAACGATCAAGCTAAATTATTGCTATGCTCTATCAGTGGTGTCAGTCTCAAGTTGGCTTAAATGTGTCTTTTTTGTGAGATTTTTCTTCTTCGTGTCCTCTCTCAACCCATAGCACAAAAGGATGTCCCTCTGACATCAGCACAGACAGTCTTTCAGTTCCCTGAAAGCACCTCAAGAAGACGAGAAACAAAGAGAGATGCTTTCTAGTGGAGCACAGAGCAAGGAAACAGGGGCATTTCCTTTTAATCATTGAAAATATGTGGAGACGATTCAACTGAGGGAAGTGATGAAAAGCACCCAGAGGAACATAATCACTTAGTCTCTGAAACAGGAGAGTTCATTAATTCACAGTTTGAAATTTAAAAAGCAGTTAAGATAAAAGCTACATGAATAGTTTTAACAAGTCCAGAATGTCCAGATGTGCTTGTCTAAAAAATAGTCTGTGTTGATGGATTATAACCATAAAACTATACAATGCATTTTGTTTACTTAAGCGTCATTAAAAAAGCACACGGGTGCCTCTGAACCAGCAAGCACACAAGAAGAATGGGCCATTATAAGTCTTCTTTTGAAAGAAAAATAAGTTGCATTGATTGAAATATTGTGGCTAGAATTATCATTGCTTCTGGGCTTTGTCAACACTATAGAAAATGATCATCTCTCCTCATGTGAAAGTAAATAAAAGAGCTTTATTTGAACTCTCCAGTGAGATCCCTTTCTTAACAAGGCTGCATTCACAGAGTTTCTGTCCTCAGTCTGCCCTCAGCAGGTCAATGTCTAAACGATTTATGCTGAAATTTAAAGTTGGAGCTGTTTTCAGAAACTTAAATCTATCAGAAGCTGCCATGAGTTCACATGTAGCTAAAGCCCCATTCGGCTGAAGCCATTTCCTGGAATGCTGAAAGCAAAATATGTATAGCTTTTAGGTTTAAATTTAAAGAATGCAGTTAAGTGACAGGGAAAACAATTGTGCTTATAAATTACTCAAAGATACAGAAAAGCAATGTTTCTAACAAGCAATTCTGACATTTCCATGACAAGAAATGTGAAATCAGACACTGAGACATGGATAGAAATGCACATGGGCCAAAAAAGTACTTCATACATTCAATTAGTTCATAAATATGTAAAAATATAAACATTTTCTGTGGGTATACGGTGAATGTGAGAGCACAAAAGGAGAATTCCACAGCTTCCTAGCAGCATGTGTCGCCATTTAAATCTTCAAAGCATTAGTAACTGTAAAAAATAGGAGTTTCAGCAGTGAAGCAATTAAACCCCCGTTAGAACACAGCAGGCTGCACAGTACTACGGGAAAGCAGCAGGAAAAGGTGATTATCAAATCTCCTCATTGAACAATTAAAAATGATGGGTTTCCACTGTGCTTTGAGAGCCATTTGCAGTAAAAACACATCATGTTTGTCTTTACAGCCACTTTCATAACTTGAACTCCAAAGTGCAGTTATTATACACTGCCATGAATCATTTTCACAGACTGAATACTTGTTCAAGTTAGGTACGGGTCCATTAGAGTCCATATAGAGTCAAAACTAAAGTGACGTGAACTCACAGGGTGGGAACGTGCTAATGCATTTCAAGAATTGTGTGAAGGTTTTCCCATTGTTAAAGTCCATGTCAGTCATCAAGTACACGTGAGATCATGTAAAAGGCTGCCCTCATTTTTAAGACATGAACACAGCAGAAGCTTGGATTTTCTAACACAAACAGGTGTTATGTACAAAGCTGGTAGATATTTGCATGCATCATATTACATAGTTTTATTTAAAACTGAACAAAGAATGTGTAGGAAAAAAGAGAGAGAAAAGGAGACAACAGACTGCTCACTGCAAACTGAAACTTGACCAAAGTTAAATAAGCTGTCCGGGAATGGTTTCGACAGTTTAGTTCAAGGCATTATACAACTGTCTCTGGAACTGCTTGAAGTGTCACTGACCAAAGAGCTCATTGTTGTGTGACTGTAATAAGGGCAAGCAACATCAAAATCTTTTCCAGCCTTTCAGACTCCACTAACAGACATGTGACAAGCCTCATATTAGGAAGAAAAGGAACTGATGTAGACATATATTAAAGAGTTGGAGTTCTTGATTCTTTTAACTAAAATATATATTAATAGTAACAAAAAATGTGTCACCATATAAGCTTTTGTTCGGTTATGAGTGTTAGAAGCCAGCATTGGATTTATTTGGTGTATCCACCTCTTTTGCAAAACCTACATACAAAATTAAATGCAGACAACCGCGGGCCCTAAATATTTACTACAAGATCGTTGCTTAGTAAAATCATGGTTTAAGTGCTCTCCGAATTATATCAGAGGGAAATGACTCAAAGTGACTCATCATCTGCATTAGAAATGAGGCCACGGATGACCACCTGTCCAATTTGCCCCTTATGTGCTCCTCGTATTAATCCAAAGCAGATGGTGCTGACGGAAAGAAAACTGAAAGCTCTCAGACCAAGTCAGCAGTAATACTGGCCTACATTTCATGTATGGCCACATGCATTAGAAGACAATTGTTTGGCATATTGTCTAAACTAGGTTTCCATGTTTCAGATTCTCCAGTATGAGAACATTTGCAGAAAAAAAGCTCATGACGCCATATGCTTAAATCACAGTCCAAGGTCTTTGTAATTGTGGGGACATAGAACACAATAAGACTAATCAGCATCAGGGTTGCAAAGTGAACCGTTTCTATGGTGATAGATGTTTTCTACCTTGTTGAGTCCATGGCACAGAGTTCAGTAGCTGATTCCTGTCTTGCTTGGTATTATAGTGTGTCCGTCACAGCTGTGAGTCTGGCTCAGTGTGGATTGACAGTCTATAGTGAGGAGGACAGGTATTTTATTTCCCCCGTCCACACCTGTCCACCTGCTGCTCTCTGTTTGACTGTCTGGCCGTTACAAATGCCACTTATCAGCTAATCCTGATCTGCTGCCTGCTCTCCCAGCTGCATCTCATTGTTTGATTAGTCTTCCTGTTTGTTCAACCCATAGAAAATGGTGACCATCATGTTGATGGCTATATGCATGAACAATGTTCATCACAAGCCCAGCCTTGTTCAATTGCTCCTTTTATCCCTCATTTGAGTCGGTGCCTTGCTCAGGCTCATACACTGAAAAACCCCTATGGGCTGATCCATTCCATGATCTCACTGGTTAACATCACTTTGTAGGCACAATGCAGGAAAGGACACACTAACCTTATAAAATCAAAGCCAGGAAGACACACTCCACTCCTAAAGTTTTTATTGTTTCATTCCCAGTCTCCTTGTACGGTAAGTTTATACCTAAATGGTGCACCTTACCCACTGGCCTGGATCAATTTAGCCCTAATCTGGAGTATAACTGAGCCAAAGGGTCTCATGTTTTACAATAACTTGTCTGATCATTGTGTGCAACAGCCTGATTATCTTTTATTTTGTAGAACCAAAAGTGTAATTGTTCCCTGAAAAGAACCACAAATGCAGGCTGCACTTTCCCAACATGGCTGCTGTTTTCCACTACTTCTGTAATTCACGGTTGTAGCCTGGAAACGTTGCCATCAAAATGCAATATTTATGAATGTTGATTATATACGCATAGCTCTATCTATTCAATAATCCCATCACTGCTGTATTGCGTTCACGTTCGGAGAGATGATCGGCGTCCTCACTCTGCAATCAAAAGCAAATTGCTTGTGATGTGCTTTTCCAAATGGCGCAGATGTCTATTTCCATGGGCTCTTCATCATTCATTTTACCTGTCAGTGCAGATAAAAAGGTCAAAATCCCTCTGCACATGCATTCCCGAAAAAATATTTTTACTAACAGCAAAAAGATCAATCAACCCCCAGCATA